GCATGCATAAAATAGTCCCTGGAAGTATGTTTTCTTTCTGGAAGAAGAATAAAAAGTACAATAAAAATTACAAAAAACAATCATGAAGGATATGGCTGAAGAAAGGCTTTTTTAAAAAAGGCTATGTTGTTTATTTCTCATTCACTGACGATCTAGAAGTATCTAAGATATAGTAACCAAATAACAAAAATAACACCTTGATAGACTGATGAATTCCACATGCCAGCAAAGAGACAAAGTACAATACATGAGAAGACTACAGAGTACATTAGAAACTGTTAAGTGCTATGAACAAAAGAACAACAAATGCTAAATTTATAAGGAGTGTAAGCCTTTTCTACATAAGTTCTGAAGTTAATAAGTAAATTTTTATAGAAATCTCTTATTACTATTTCTTATTATCTTAGAACCTTGAGGATAATTTCTGTCACTGTTCATTTCCCTATGTGAAGTAGTGAAAACAAAATCATGATTTAGGGATAATTGTGAAAATTCAATGAGGTCATCATTACAAAGAACAGTGAATCAAAAAGTATCTAACTGTCCTCTAAAACTTAGCCCATCATTCACATTACTGAATGCAAGATTCAGAATATTATATTACTGAATATAAGATCTAGTATACTACTGCATCAGTGAATATTTAGTATATTACTTCAGGTCTGAACATGGTTTATCACTCAAACCATGAGAACTTAAATCATCATTAATATAAATTAAGTTTTAAAATTCCTTTTTGGAGATGGAGGACTGGTCCCACCAAGAGTTACTTTCTCAATAACAGCCAAAAAAAATTTTAAGTCATTTATTTCAAGGAACTAATCATTTATCCATTTGTTTTACCCCTCCCCTGGGACAATCTGTAATTTACTCTGATAACAAATGCGTAGAAAACAAACCTAACATTTTTGCTGTTACTCAATTATTAGGGTACTCAGTGTTGGAGCTCATGCAAGCATCCCTTGGGGAAATGCTCTGCATGCCATTAGCACTATTCTTAATGAGGAAAAGCACAGAACTCCTTTAGTTCCATGCCAGAATTGTTTTATCTTCAAGTCCAAAGAACAACTATTTGGAGGAACACCAAAACAAGCAGTTAACAATTACAAGCAGTAGACCATTCATAAGCATCACATTGTTAATGCTACTCTAATTATAAATAACTTAATTTTATCAAATCAAATATCAGCACATTTCTAAGTCCCAGATACCTTCTGGACTAATTTATTCCTTCAGAAACATTTTTACTGATTGAATGAACATTTTAAATATGCTTACAGAAGAGTGAGACATATAAGGAATCTTTAAGTTTTTAAATTAATGAGTAAACAATCCTCAAAGAAAATTCACAAATCATAAACAGAGTTCTAAAACAAACCATGGTGTTTCCAGTAATCTTCAATGACCGTAGTAAAATGGTAATATCTGAAGAAATCTAATTCCGATTTCATTGTCCTGAATTCTCTCCAAGAGAATAACGCTTCCTTCCTGCATGAAGAAACATTCTACACCCTCCATTTCTGCAATGTTCTAAAAGCCAGTTTACAACATTCTAGGTTTCTTTTGGCTTGATTATCTACTAATAAATAATCTTTGCCCTTATTTATTTCCTTACACTGTACTCAATGATGAATGAGTAATATGTCAGGAACTTGAAATTGTATCTATCAGTAGATACTAATCAAGAACTCATGAGGAACTGAGTTTATTCTAAACATGTAAATATATTAAATAACTATACTGTGGGCAAAATACAAAGGCTTTATATTTATATATGTATATTTTTAATTTTTTTAAAAAAAGATTTATTTATCCCTATTGGAAAGGCAGATATGCAAGAGAGGAAGACAGACAGAGAGGAAGATCTTCCGTCCGATGATTCACTCCCCAAGTGGCCACAATGGCCGGTACTGTGCTGATCCAAAGACAGGAGCCAGGAACCTCTTTCCAATTCTCCCTTGCAGGTGCAAGGTCCCAATGCTCTGGGCTGTCCTTGACTGCATTCCCAGGCCACAAGTAGTGAGCTGGATGGCAAGCAGGGCCACCAGGATTAGGACCAGCGCCGATATGGGATCATGGCACGTTCAAGGCGAGGACCTTAACCACTACATTATTGCGCAGGCCCACACAGGTTTTTAATATAAACAAAAATGCTTTAACAAAAGTTGAAGTCAAAAGTGAGGATTATTACAGCCAGCTTTTATTACATTACATTGTCATGAATTTTTGCAAGATTACTATATGATGAAATAGAAAAAATGATAAAAGTTACTCAAAATCTTGTCTTTAGTGACTTACATTAGCAGGATACCTTGGAGAAACTGTGGAATGGGATTTTTCTTCAATGCTATAAGAAATTAAGGCTGCCCTACTTCTTCAGATGAATGATTGTATAGAAACTGGGCACCCGACTAGCTCCTCTACCAACTGCACCAACTGATGGCCCTCAAGATGTTACACGTGCATTTAACAAATACTCAGAATAATTACTGTTTCTGAAATATTCCAGCTTACAGGTGATGGAATATCAGCAGTAATCACCTGAATTTCCTTATGACAGAACAAGGTTCATAAACAACGGACAAACACTATCACTTCTGACCTGTACTCTTGAAAACATCTAACTCAGGCCTGTGGCCTGAAGACACCAGCTTAGGATCCCAACCACCACTGAGAACTGAGAGTTTCAGCTCATCCTCTCCCCATTCATCTGTACTAGGGAGGAATATAACAACTCCAGGAGATCAAACAGAAATAGAAGTCGCTACTAACATAGTTGATCTGTCCAACAACTGTGAATGAGAGTAACCAAGAGAAACTTTATCAAGGGGGTTTTGACAGAAAGTATTAAGATGAATGGTACAACTCTTTCCGTAAATATGGCACACATTTGCACTATAGCACTCACAGGAGAATTACTGTGAGTGTAATTTCCCAACACAAAGAACTATTCTGGAAAAAGAAGCAAAGAATTTAATCAGTGAACGCTAACTCCCCTTTGTCTTTTTAAAAATTATAATTTATACATAATGCATTATACAAATCTCAAAAGTCTAGCTTAGTGAAATTTTATGTGTTTATCTGTATAACTCCTCCGAGATCAAAACACATTTTTATTACCTCACAAGGTTTTTTCATGCCTCTACAGTCAATAATCATTATATTAAACTTCCACATGACCACTGCTCCCCCTTTTCTCTCCAGGTTCATAATGCCTGTATTTGAAGTATTCAGTAGATATACAGTATCTTATCTTCTCCAACATTCTGTGAAATTCATATTCAGGTTTAGCATTTCCTAAATCTATGCAGTACTATACTGTGCAACTCTACTGTAATTTATTTATCCATTCTCCTGTTGACCGACATTTAGTTAAGCTTTTACTAGAAGGAGTATTATGACTATAACTGCTATGAGCTTTCTTGGACATGTTCACAGAATGCTAGGTTACAGGGTAGGCACATGCATAACTGAAGGAGACAGTGCTAAGCAGTTTTTGAAGTACCTGTTTTCTGACTTCACAATGTAATCATGCTGGCAGATGAGTTTTATTTCATGTCACTCTAGTGTATAACAATACTAAGCACCTTTTCATAAGCTTATTAGCATTTCTAAATAGTTTCTTTTTTGAAGCCTGTGTTCAAATTTGTTCATTTTTTAAATTATTTCTATTTTTGACTTATAAAAAATCATCATCCAGTTTTATATTTTAACCAAAATACGTATTTTAAAAGACTTTCCTCAGAGTTTAATATATTGACATGAAATTCAAATTTTAATTTTTTTCCTTTAATGGTTAATTCTTGTCTGTGTCTCTTCAAAGAGGTCCTTCCTATTACAAGATCATAAAAATATTCTCATATATTTTCTTCCAAAAGCTTGAGTTAGCTTTCTCTTCCTCCTTTTTTTTCTATCAATTTCTCTAGTCTTTTCTCAGCCAAACTGGTCATATTAAAGTAAGCCATTCGACAGCACTAATTCTTTAAATTACGTGTGCTGATGAAGGAGCTGTGGTAGTACCACATCAGTATGCCATTCAAGTCCTGGCTGCCCTGTTTCCACTCCAGCTCCCTGCTAACACACAGAAAAGCAGCTCAGGATAACCCAAGTGCTTGGGGCCCTGCTATCCTTTTAGGAGACCCGGGAGGCTCAGTTTGGCCTCTCCAGCTTCAGCTTTTATTCTGGGCATTTGAGGAGTAAATCAGCACAAGTCCCTCCCTCTCCTCTTTCATATTGAAAAATATTTTAAAAATCATGTGCAGTGCTATTTAAAAACCAAGCAAATGAACTTGACACTAATAAATTACAGAATTAATCCCCTTTGGGAACATGTTAAACGCCCTCACAGAAACTTTTGCAGCTCTAACTCAAGTTTCAAAAAATGTATTCCTGGCTTTAACTGACTGATAAATGCTAGTACCTTATCAATACTAAAATATATTTCAACATTTCTGAAAATAAATGCTGAAATTATAAATATTCAGACTAATACTGAACAAAGATGCTTAAAAGAAACCAAATGAACTCAATTCCTGCTCTTCCTGCAAATCTTAGGATCTATCTGAATTATAGGCTATCTCTCTAGCCAACAGATCACATTAAGAAAAAGACAGGAAAGAAATTAGAACTTTACACATTTATTCAACTAATTTGAAAACTGACTATGCAAAAGCCAATACAGACCTAAAATTTTCAAATGTTACAACATGAAATGTTAAGTGATAATTCTTTCATGATCTTACCAAAACAAAAATTTAAGAGACACCACCAGTAAAATTCATTTGCAACTGGAAATTAAATATGTTCTAATAATCCCTACCTACTAACAGTTTATCCTATGGTCTTTTATTTGCAATCAACCAGTAATTACTACCACATACTGTTAAGAAAACAATAGTTTAGATTCAATTTACACTGCAACTTAAAAGTTTCTCATTTCCTACCCCATTTTTTATGAAGCTGTTATTTACTTAACTTATTTATTATTGTTTTCCACAAAAAAAAATCTGGAACACATCACAAATTTGCATGTCATCCCTGTGCAGGGACCATGATAATTTCTAAATCATTCCAATTTTTGTATATGTGCTGCCAAAGTGAGCATAATTTTTAAAACATAGTTTTTAAATTTCACTAGGTAAAGATTACAATCGATGCAACTCACACATTATAAAAAAAAAAACCTAGCCTGAAGTGAACCCAGACTTACCTGTAGTAATGGCTCGGTGGAACTGATGCATATCTTCTCCTGATAACTCTTGGGCTACCTGTAATATCTTTTGTCTCACACCATCCAACTTCACTTCTGATTCAATCAATATCTCCTCCATATCAGGGGCACTACAATCAAGATATCAGGAACTTTTAAAACAGCAGATGATTTAATACTGAAAACTAATCAACATGACTAAATATTTGTATGTTTTCATCCTTCCTACTTATAAAAAAATCACAAGTATATTTTATCGATAGTGTGCAAGAACATGAAAAATTCTGTAACATACCATCAAGTTTAAAAAGTACACAAAAATTGTTATATTTACATTTACAAGAAAAACTCTGTTCAGAGAAGTATGATATCTGTCAATGTCTGTATTCAGTCAGGATGAAGTAACACGGACTGGATTTATCCTTTTTAAACAACTAAAAAGAAAAAAAAAAACACCAAAACAACGGTTTCAAATTTTAGACTGAAGCAGCATGGGGCACTGAAGGGGGGACGGGGAGAGACGATACATACTCTATGACTGCCCCATCTTACTGCCTGAAGAGTTTTGAAGTCCCATGGCAGGGACAAAAACAAGAAATCGAAGCAGCAGTCTCTTTGTGTATGGTGACTGGCTGCTTTCATAATTATTTTTACTTTTTTCAAGTTAGCAACTCTCTTTACTCATGAAAAGCAAGCTCACTATGAACATAACACGGTAAAAAGAGTATGTAATAATGTATGAAATGCAGCAGATGAGGAGGTGAGCACTACTGAGTCACTGCTTACAATCCACATTCCTTCCAAGATGCTTGGAAAGCAGCAGAGAATGGCTCAAGTACTTGAGTTTGCTCTTCACTTGGTTGACCAGATAAAGCTCACAGCTTTGGCCTGATTTAGCCCTACCTGTCTGATCCATTTGAGTTAGGAACCAGAGGATGGAAGATCACTCTATTCTGTCATTCTGCCTTTTAGATGAGTAAATCTTTTTTATAAAAATAAAATCTAGGGCCTGGTGCAATAGCCTAGTGGCTAAAGTCCTCACATTGCACAAGCTGGGATACCATATGGTCACTGGTTCTAATCCCAGTGCCTCCACTTCCCATCCAGCTTCCTGCCTGTGGCCTGGGAAAGCAGTCGAGGACAGCCCAAAGCCTTGGGACCCTGCACCCGTGTGGGAGACCCAAAATAAGCTCCAGGCTCCTGGCTTTGGATAATCTCAGCTAAGGCCATTGTGGTCACTTGGGAAATGAGTCAGCTGACGGAAGATCTTTGTCTCTGTCTCTCCTCTTCTCTGTATATCTGACTTTCCAACTAAAATAAAATAAATCTTAAAAACATACAAATAAAATTTGATTGTAGCTATCTTGGAGTAGTATGTATGACTGTCTTATTTAATTTCCTTTATTATATGTCATTTATTCGTTTTCTAAACATTTTTTTCTAATTGATATTTTCTACTATATGTTCAATATGTATTGTTTTTGGCAGAAAAATACAAGAGCAAATACTCAAATGTAGACTCTTTTTCCAAAGATTTATTTATTTGAAAAGCAGAGTTATAGAGAGCGAGGAAGACAGAGACAGAGACAGAAATCTTCCATCATTGGCTCGCTCCCTAAATGGCTGACAACGGGCAGGGCTGGGCCAGGCCTAAGGCAGGAACAACTTCTGCATCTCTCACATGGTGCAACGGAAGCTGGACAATCTTCTGCTTTTCCCAGGCTAAAAGCAGGGAAGCTGGATTGAAAGTGGAGCAGCTGGGTCACAAAGCAGTGTTCAAATGGGATACCAGTATTGCTGCAGTTTTACCTGCTAAGCCACAATGCTAGCCCCTGTAGCTTTTTTCTTACAAAAAAAGTTCTCCTGTCACATTTCTACTATTTTTATTTTTTAAAGCTACTGAAAACTGATGGGATTTATTATAATTGCTTCCCAAAAAAGGATCATAATTAAACAATATTGGCTCTCTTACAATATTTGTGCATGTTTGATTATACAAGACTATACAGAAATTAACAGTTAAAAAAAGATTAAAGGCACATTTCAATAAACTATGGTATAAAGGGCAAATCTGCTTCCACTCGAATCAGGAATATTTTCTGTGAAGGGTCATGTGGATATTCATGACATCATTTGCAGATCATAAAAAGTCACCAACTTTAACAGATTTATTGAGTTTCTAGCCCCACCTATAGTTGTCTTGGCAGGTCCAGATCAAATGATTTTTTCAGGTTCTACATGGCTCATGAGCTGAACATTCCCCAAGCCTGACTTAAACAGAATAAAAACTAAATCACTAGTGAGCCCAGCACAGCAGGCTGGTGGCTAAAGTCCTCACCTTACAAGCACCAGGATCCCCTATGGGTGCCGGTTCATAGCCAGTGGGCCCCACTTCCCATCCAGCTCTCTGCTTGTGGCCTGGGAAAGCAGTCAAGGATAGCCTAAAGCCTTGGGACTCTGCACCTGCAAGGGAGACTGAGCAGTTTCTGGCTCCTGGCTTTGGATCAGCTCAGCTCCAGCCATTGTGGCCACTCGGAGAGTGAAATCAGCTAATGGCTGTGACAATTCAGGATGGGCCTGGCTAAAGCCAGAAGCTAGAACTCAACCCAGGAAATCAGGTACACGGCTACACAACAGGAACTTGTTCCATCTGTTTCTTTTGCAGGCACATTAGCAGAGACATGGATTTGGAAGTGGAGCAGCTAAGACTTGAACTGGTGTCACACAGCTGGCAGCTTACTCACTGCACCACAACACCAGTCTGAAGCTTTCTTTTACTTAAACCACCGAGAAACTTATCAATTACACAGAGCCTGCCTAGAAAAATATCCACAAAGTTCTACAAACAATGCATGATCTCCCTTATATGTTCAAGTTAAAATTAAGAAAACAAATCAAGAGCTGGAGATTTGGCCCAGTAGGCTAAATCTTACCTGCAGTGCCTGTATACCATTTGAGTGCCAATTCCTTTCCCACCCACTCCACTTTCAATCCAGTTCCTGCTTATGGTCTGGGAGAGCAAAGGAGCACAGCTCAAGTCCTTTGGCCCCTGCACCCACGTGGGAGACCCAGAAGATGCTTCTGGACCCCAGCCTTGGACTGGCCCGCCTCTGGCTATTGCAGCCAGCTTGGAAATGACCCAGCAGATGGGAGAGCTTTGTCTTTCATTCTCTCTGTAATTCTGCTTTTCAAATAAAAAAATAAAATATATTTTTTAAAAAATCAGAAAACAAAAAGAAATGTCTTTACTGGGATTGATACAAATATAACTCATCAAGCTGTTTTATACCTTTGTTAAATTATTTCTTTAAAGATTTATTTATTTTTTTTGGAAAGGTGGATATACAGAGAGGAGGAGAGTCAGAGAGGAAGATCTTCCGTCCAATGGTTTACTCCCCAAGTGATCGCAATGGCCAGTGCTGCGCCAATCCGAAGTCAGGAGCTTCTTTCAGGTCTCCCACATGGGTGCAGGGTGCCATGGCTTTGGGCCGTCCTCGACTGCTTTCCCAGGCCACAAGAAGGGAGCGGGACGGGATGGGAAGCCACTGGGATAAGAACTGGCGCCCATATGGGATCCTGGCACATTCAAGACGAGGACTTTAACCGCTACATTATTGTGCCGGGCCCTTTTGTCAAATTACTCAGCATGCTATACTACTAAAGTTTTAATGCTATAGTACTAAAGTTTTAAAATATACTGTGTATGAGTGAAATCAACATCTTTTCATGTGATTACTTTATAGTCCTTGCTATATAGTCCCACTGAAATATGGTCATTTTACTTTCCACTTGCTGAACTCTTCATTTGAGTAGAGTATTAAGCCTTTGAGTGTATCTTAAAACTGTAAATTGTAAATTATTGTTGATGTTATGCTGTGGCTTTTCATTGGAGGGGATGATATTCTGCCAGCTCTACTTTCACACCAGGGATGGTCTCCCAAGGAAACTGTTGAATTTATCTGGACAATAAAAGGCTGGACTCTATGTACGGTACATGCTCGCAATGAAGGAATCATGACTGGATATGAACTGTACTACTGCAACAATGTGGAGGAATCCAGCATGGGGGGAGGGCCTGAGGAGGGGCTGAGGGAATCCTAGAGCCTATAAAACTGTGTCATAAAACAAAATAAAAGTTAAAAAATAAAATTTATCTCAAAATGTAAAAAATTTAAAAATTTAAAAAAGAAATGTCCCAGTGGAAGAAAATGTTTAAGTTGAAAGACAGTTTTTTATACAATTAAGAAGCCAACAGTATATTAGACAAAACTGTTAAATAAGAAAGGCACAAGAATGTGCATTAAATTTAAACACAAAGAGAATCTTCAACAATGTGAGTAAGCAAACGAGATCACAATGCAATGAAAAATGAAAAGATAAGTTAAGCAGATGCTTTATATTTATCTAATATTGATATTTTCACATCTAAAATCTAAGTTTAGCTTTAACACAATGAGCTCTAATAAGTTATCAAAATTTAATATTTTAGCAAAACATCTCCAGTAACTCCAAAAAATAAGAATTTTCTCTATCTTTATTAAAATATTTATTTCCTAAATGATCCGAGTCCACAAACTCACAGCCTATCCTAGGGGCTAGTTATTGTCCACTGAATCATAAAGCAAACAAAAAACTAGGAAACTAAAATAAAAAATCTATCAAACTATAATAATTTTTAAAGATGTTTACTCACCTTGTAATTCTATGGAGGAGAAAGATTGTCCTTTTGCTTTCAACAGTTATATCCCGACTAAGTTTTACAAGTCTCTCGTACTTATCATGTCTTGCATCAAGTTCCTGCTGAAAGGCTAAGGACATGGTACCCATGAGCACACATGGTCTATTCCTAAATCCCATCAAAAACATCAAGTTTGCATGTCATACTTGTTATCATT